ATTATAGATATAAACATGTGTAAGCTCTGGTTCAAATTTTGTTTGGGGGAGTCTCTTTGGGCAAGGTTTATGCTTTATAAGTATTGTAAAAGTTCACATCCCTCTACGGTCACTTGGAAAGTGGGGGATTCCAGGCTTTGGAAGGCTATAATTGCTGCTAGGGATGTTGCATCTCATTTCATTTTTTTTCATTTTTTGGGATTTTTGGGACATTGGTGATGGTCACATTTCTTTTTGGAAAGATGATTGGGGCATATCCATGTATTCTACTTTACCTACTTCTGGTTATGATGCAAAGTCGTTAGTCTTGGATTGCCGGATTCGAGGTCAGTGGAACTTAAATATGCTGAATTCATTAATTGGTGATGTTACTCCTGCTATTGCTACTTTTCCCATCCATGCTCAGGATAAAAATGTTCCCCATTGGAAGCACCATGCTAGTACTTCTATTACTAAAATGGTTTACTCGAATTTTCACTCTTTTACTCCTTGGAAATGACATCCTTACACTTAGCACAAACTGTTATCTCCTTCTATTTCATTTTTCCTTTAGGTTAAAACTTGTTTCCTTTTGTTATAATTGTAAAAAAGAGGTTGAATCTTTCAATCACTTATTTTTTTACTATTTTTTTGCTAAAGAGGTGTGGCATCATATTGGGCTCTATTTTGGTATTTCTTGGCCCTCAAACTTGACCCTTAAAGCTGTTATTAACACTTTGAAAGAGTTTGATTCAACTTTCAATAAGCACAATTATTTCTCTGGCATTGTTTTATGGTTTATTTGGATGGGAATAGCCAAAAATATGAAGCTTCATGCCACACTCCCACTACTACTTCCACTTTTGCTGTAGCTTATTTTAAAAAGGCATGGAAGACTTCCATTGGGCAAGATGTTTCTCCTAATGTGGGTAGGGGTAGGAAGCCCATTTTAATTAGATGGGCACCACCCGCTCACAGCAGATTTAAAGTTAATGTTGATGGAAGTTTTTCTAATGCCTATATACGGGTATTGGTGGACTTATCAGGGATACTTATGGTAAGTGTTGTGCTTATTTTGCATCCCCTTGTATTGCCAACTCTTCTATTGAGGCCGAAACTATTCTTATGCTAGCTGCTCTTCAAATAGTTGCTTCACTTAACCTCAATGATATTATTCTGGAAAAATGACTCTAAAACTGTCTATAAAATGCTTAAAGCTAAGCTTAATCCTCCATGGTTAAGATGAATTAGGCATATTATAGAGGGGCAACATTTAAATATTCTTTACACCTTCACATATAGAGAAGGTAATAAATCTGTGGATTGGCTTGCAAAATGGAGGGTACAGGGAGCTATTGTTGGAATTTCTCCTCCTATGTTGCTTAAGTTGATACAGAGTGACTTAGCTGTTCCTTATGTTCGATTTTTACCTGATGCATCTTTATATTATTTTGTTTCAAGATTCATGGACTGTCATTGGTTATTTTGGAATGCCTTTTCTTTGCTTCCTTGCTCTGTTGGGATGAATGTTCTTGCGGGATGGATGTTGGTGTTGGGGTGGCTCACATGAAACTTTTATTCATTCTTCTTTTCAGCCTCCTAAAACTGATTAATATGATTTTAAATTATCTTGGAAGTTTTCTTGCTCTGGAATATGGAATGACTGTGGCTTCATTTATTGGGTTGGGCAATGTATGCTGGATAGTTTGGTTTTCAATTTGTACTTGGTTAATTCTTTTGAAGCAGGAAATTCTAGCTCCACTGACTTTAATTTTCTGCTTCTTCATTGCCACTATGGGAGCCTGCTGGTAGGCTATTTTGGCATAGGTTATGGTTGTTGAAACATGCTTTGATTTTGATTTTATTTGCCTAGGACAGTTCTAGGGGTCAAAATGTTATTGATGATGTTGTTTCCTATATAAATGATCTTTTTAGTTGCTGCTTTGGGGTTTCTGTTTCACTTATTGGTTATAATAGTATATTATTATTTCTGCTTTGGTTGGTGAATGACCAGCAATTTTGGATCACTTTACTGGTTACTGATTCATATTTTGATGGATGGTCTCTTATCTTTGCAGATTTATAGACTCATGGCTTCTCTGGTGTCTGGAAGGCTTCTCTATGTGGCCACCTGATAATTTTGCATAACTTTTGTCACTTCCTATACCATGCTTTCTTTTCTAATTTGGCAGGGAGTTACCTTTCTGATTTCATGAGGTTTGGTACACATATGCTCTCTGCCCGAACTGCTTACTTTTGTTTTCATGGATGTTGGATTTTGGATGCTTGGATGCTGTCAAAAAAGCCTGGGTCAACAGAGCTTGGATTACACTGTCTTGCACAATGTTTTTCCTTTATAATCCATGTAGATCCAGAACAGATTGCAGGAGATGACAGGATTCGCTGGATGTTATTTGGACTTTGCTTTTTCTGTTTTAAATATGTTCACTTTCTTTTTGGTCTTGGGGTTTGATATACATATAATTTTTGGGTATACTTCTTCTGTTGGTATACTTTTTGGGTTTATACATGTTATTTTTGTTTTTTTTTTCATGAAGTTGGTGTGAAGTTGTGCTGCGGATAGTGAAACCCCTAGGATTAAATGTATTTCTTTTGTTTCTAGATAGGGATCCACTATCCCACACCATTTTTGTACTTTTTTTTATTTATTAACGCGTAAGGAGCCATGAGTTGCCCTTTTCATCAATATATATATATATCTGGAGG